AAGACAGCTACAAGCATATAAATATATTGTTTCTCAGATTACCTTCTTTTTTTTTTGGCTACTTTTTTTTTTCGTTTAGGCACTTAGAAAATATTTTAATTACAAAATTCGATTTTTGAACAAAGCAAATTTTCTTTTTCATGTTATCATCAATTTTTAATTTCTTCAATCTAGCAAATCTAGATGTGGAATCAAACGCTCGTTTTACAATATCATTTCCGTCATTTTCTAGCCAATGTTTAGCCTTTTCGACTTGTTTAATATTAGGAAATTCCACACAAGGTCCACGAGTCATCAAATCTTGAGTCACAACAGTCTTGGCACCACCACCTCCATTAATTGCTTTGCATCCTCTAGAAGTTGATGCCAACAAACATCCTTCAGTTGTTGCCATGGGAATGTGTAATAATTCGCCATCAATTTTTAAAGGCCCTGCCACTCCGACGGGGATTGGTATATATCCAATTACATTTTCACAGCATACACCCATGACTTTTGAATAATCATAACCTTCCATAGGTAAGGCTGAATTTTCCAATGTTTTCGTAATTGAAGAACGTGATATCAAGGCTCTACGTATTTTTACAGCTCGTTCATTATTCTTCAAAATTTTTTCCAAATTATATTGAGAAAATCTGCCATTAATAACCAATAAAAGAATATCCTCGTCTGACATGATTGTAGGATCACCTAAATCTAAAGGTATATCCTGGGAAGTAACATCTTCCAATAGCTTCGAAGTAGATGGTGCGACAACAACATCAGAAGTTTCTTCATTAGTCTTTAGTTGATTATGCACATTCAAAAGACAACAATTTAAAATTATGGAGAAAATCAGTCCAATAAAAGTAAATGTAAAAAGTATTGAGCCTTGACCATATAATGACCAATAGCTCAAAACAATATCAAATATCTTATAGAATAATTGAATGAACGTTCGAATACAATCACATCGTTTTGAACAACTCGAAAAATTTTTGATGATGCGACATCGACTATTAAATATAAGGAAGCTTTAGGACTTGACTG